CAATCCCCTCTCCTCCATTCTCCTCTCAGGATCTTGGGCACGCACGCACACGCGCCTGGCGTGGGTTTTAAGCCACCGGGTCCGGGACGTGAGCCATGTTCGACTACATGGGAGTCCAGCGACATAGCCATTACACTAACTGCTGGTCCCCCCCTCCTTAGATTTTTACAAAGTTATAAATAATGTATTATTGATTTGGCTCTTCTAATGCTCTGTGAGGTGAGGGGAGATCTTTTCTTCCATATTATTGTACAATTTAGAAGCAAGACCCAGAAGTTATAAGACTTGCCAAAGTAATCAAGCAGGTGTTGAGATTTGTGACATGATACTGTCAGTTTTCCCTTTTTATGTGTTAGGAATTTTGCTGAGTGCTTCTCATTTGTCAACTTTAATTCTTATTTTGGCTCTAGACAGACAGAGAGACAGAGATAGAAAGCGAGAAATCACCCCCCAGGGGGGATGGCCATGCCGCAATCCCTTCTCCTCCATTCTCCTCTTGGGATCTTGGGCACGCACGCACACGCACTCGGCGAGAGTTGTAAGCCACCGGGTCCGGGACGTGAACCGCAGTCGACTACATGGGAGTCCAGCGACATAGCCATTACGCTAATTGCTGGTCCCTGCATTGTAGATATTATTTATCACAGCTTAACAACTCAGGTACCGATATTGACCATGATCACACACAGAAGTTGGAGCTGAAACCACCCTGATCTTCTTTTTAATCCTAATTCATTTTTTCTTTGTAATTTTTATAAACTCAATTGGGTTGTTTTATAAACTCCAGCAGTTTTGTGGAGAGAAGAAACCGAAACACATCAAGTAATAGAATATCCACTACCAGTGAGTTCTCATTTCCCCCAGCCCTTCAGTCCCTGCTCACTAGTAATCTACTTTCTGCCTTTATATTTGCCTAATCTGGACATTGACTCTACACCAAATTATACAGTATGTGGTCTATAGTGACTGCTTCTTTACCTTAGCATAAAGCTTTCAAGATTCATCCATGTTGAATACTGCATTTCTTTTTATGTCTGAATAATATTCCATTGAATGGCTATATTGAATGAATTTTTTGATCCATTCAGTAGTTGATGGATATTTGAGTAGTATCCATGTTTTGTCTATTATGAATAATACTGCTATGAATATGCATGTGCAACTTCATATATGGACATAGGTGTTTTATTTTTCTAACTTTGTATATTGACATAGGTATTTTATTTTTCTAACTTTGTGTATGGACATAGGTATTTTATTTCTCTTAGGTATACAACTATGAGTACAATAGCTGTATTATATAGTAACCATGTTGTACCTTTTGAGGAACTGACTAGTTTTCAAAGTAACTGCACCATCCCAGAGTCCCCCTAGCAATATATGAGAGTTCCAGTTTCTCTACATCCTTGTCAATACTTGTTATTATCTTTCTTTATTATAGCCATCTTAGTGGGTATAAAGTGGAACTTTTCCAAGAGACCCACAGTTATTAGTTAATAATAGGGTTGGGATTTGCATTCAGGGAGATCTGACTGACACAAAGTCTGCTTTTTATTAAGGTTTATTTTATTTCTTGAGAGAGAAAGTGAGGTACCCCTGACAGGGTCTCATCAAGCCACAATCTCACCCCCCGACCTTCCTGCCAACCAGGATCAGAGGCCTGCATGTGCATGCCTCCAACATGCTCAAGTCAATGTGGACCTGAACCCCAGTCGTTCATCTGGCTTCCAGCATTGCAGACCACCTGTGCCACCATCCCTCTGGCCCACTTTCCAAGCACAGCTTTGGGGGATGGTGGCTGCCCTTGTGTGAAGAACGGTATTCTGCCCATGTAAACATTCCAGTAAGATTATCTTGGTAACTAACTCTCTGCTTCTCCTCCCAACAAATAGACCGCATGACATCAGTCTATTTTATTACCATTTTGACAGAGCATCTAAGAGGCATCTAAATTGAACTAACCTTGTGATCCAACCCTCAAGAGAAAGGATTTCTTTTGAATACCCTAAATAGAGGAACAGTTCTAATTCTGTCCAGAATTATTTCTGGATGGGAATTTTTGTTATTGTTCAAAATTTAAGACATGAGATGAATTCCTTTAAAAAAAGTTTTTTAGAATATTACTAACTTTTGGGGCCAGCAAGTAGAGTAGTGGTTGAGGCATTGGACTGCCACATTGCCAACCATGGTTCGAGTCCTGAATCTGGTGCCTTGCTTTCTTATTTTCCTTCTCTCTCTGGTGAGAACACATGTTCCATAGAAAATTAAATAGTAATAATAATAAATAAAATTTAAAAATATTACTAACTTTTAAGGTTCTCTTACCTTAAATTTGTCTTACCTATGAAGTCCAATGTGCATGTGAGAGGAACTTGTAAGATTATACCATATCTGTAACAGTGAAGTTTATGTTGTAGAAATAAATGGGAGGTATTACAGATAATAAGATGGACTGAGGTTCCAAGTTGAAATGGGAATCAGTATTCATCTTAAGGTGTCTTATGCCTGACATAGTAATAAAAGAGAATGGAATTAGTTGTTTAGTGGGACTATTAGAATCAGAAAGTACTTCATGTCTATTTTACTGATGGCAGAAACCAAGGCCTAGGGAAGGGAAGGAGCCTGTGGAAGCCAGTGAAAGGACTAGTAGGTGGCCCTGACCCCCATCCGGTTATCTTTTTCTTCTTACTGTAGCAATAATCACGTTACATAAAGTTCGCCATCTTTACCACGTTCAAGTGTGTAGTCTAGTAGTGTTTTTTAGTATATTCACATAGTTGTGAAACAGAGCTGAAATTCTATACCCATTAAATAACAACCCTCCTTTTCCCTCTCCCTGAGTCTCCTGGTAACTGCCATTCTACTTTCTGTTTCTATCAGTTTCACCACTTCAGATACCTCTTATAAGTGGGTTCGTACAGCACTATATCTTCTTTCTGTGAGTGGTTTATTTCACTTAGTATAATGTCCTCAAGGTTCATCCATTTTGTAGAATGTGACAGGATTTTCTTCCTCCTTTTTGAGACTGAATATATAACACATTTTCTTTATCCATTCATTTGGTGGTGGACATTTGGGCTGCTTCCACCCTGTGGCTGTTGTGAGTAATGTTGCAGTGAACATGGGTTTACAAGTATCTGTTTAAGACCCACTTTCAATCATTTTGGATATATACCAAGAAGTGGGAGTGCTGGATCCCATAGTAGTTCAGTTTTTAATTTTTTGAGGGCCACCTTGCTGTTTTCCATAGCAGTTGTACTATTTTGCAACCCATACACAAGGGTTTCAGTTTCTCCGTACCTCTGCCACCACTTCTTTTCTCTTTCTGGTAGTAGCTCTCCTACGGAAGGTTGAGGTGTTACATCATTGTAGTTTTGATTTCTCACTCGATGAGTGATTATTGGCCATTTGTATATCACCTTTGGAGAAATGTCTGTTCAAGTCTTTTGCCTAGCATTTAATCAGTTGATTTGATTTTTTGTTGTAGGAGTTCTACAACATCAACAACAAAAAATGGCTGCTCAGTCATAGGAGTTCTTTCTATATCCTGGATATGTTAACGCCTTATCAGGTGTATGATTTACAAAAATGTTCTCTCATTCCGTAGATTACCGTTTCACTGTTGAAAGTGTCCTCTGATACACAGACATTTTCAAGTTTGAAGTACCACCATTTGTCTCTTTTTGCTTTTGTAGTCTGTGCTTTTGGTGTCATATTTACAAAATCCTTACAAAGTTCAGTGTCAAACTTTCCCCCTATGTTTTTTTCTAGGGGTTTTATAGTTTTAAATTTTACATTTAGCTCTTTGATCTCTTTGAGTTCATTTTCACATAGAGTGTAAGGTAAGGGGCCAACTCCATTCATCTGTATACAGATATCTGTTCCTTTAGTTATTTCAACACTATTTGTTGAAGAGACTGTCTATTCTCCATTGAATGGTCTTGGCACTCGTGTCAAAGATCTTTGGACCATAGAAGTCATGGTTTGTTAGGAGACTCTCTTCATTCCATTGGGCTATTTGTCCTTATGCCAGCACTGAACTGTTTTGATTACTGCAGCTTCATGATATGTTTTGGAATCAAGGAGTATGTTTTGGCTATTCAGGGTCCTGGGAGATTCCATATTAATTTTTAGATAATACTTTCTATTTCTTAAAAAAAATTAGGATTTTTTTTCTTTTATGACAGAGCATGTGCATATATGTGAGGGGGGTACAAGAGAGAGACAGAGACAGAGAGAGATAGCATCCCCCTAGCACACACACACACACACACACACACACATACACACACACAAGATCTGGTCACACCATTATCCCCTTCCTCCAGCCTGTCAGATCTTGGGTACCTGTGTGCATGCCCAGTATGCCTCAAACTGACTGGGTCAGGGATTCAAACAATGGTTGCTGTGTGGGAACTAGCTTTTCCTGAGCAACACATTGCCACCTGGCCATAGAGCCAGCCCTGTTGATAAGGATTGTGTTGAATCTTAGTTCATTTTGGGTAGTACAGACACCTTAACCATCCAGTGTTTTTTTTAACAAATATGTTACTTACTCATATTTATTTCTAGATTTTTATATTGTGATTTATAAGTAGCTCAATTATTTATTTCTGTGTTATATATATTATTTTAGATTTTTTTTGCCATATACTTTTTAATAATTTTTAAAATTTAACTTTATTTATTTAAATTTGACCAGACGGGGACAGAGTGAGAGAGTGAGAGGGAGAGGGGTAAGGAGAAGGGGAGAGAGAGAGAACAAGAAAGCAAGCCACCAAGTCTGGGACTTGAACCGCGGTTGGCCCTGTGGAAGTCCAGTGCCCTTAACCTCCACGCCACCTGCTGACCCCTGCCATATATTTTCAATGACACAGAAAATACAGAGAATTATTTATTTGTTCACATAATATTTGCATACTCTGTGACTATCCATTTTTCAACTCACAATATTTAACAGTGTTGACATTTTTCATATTTTTAAAATTATAATTGCAGGAATATTATATCATTACCACAAATTAAAGTATAAGGGAAAAGTGCCCTACTAACAAATCTGTTTTCAGTTTTTCCTTGAAAAACTTTATCATAAGTATGCCACATTTTTTTCAGTAGTAATCCTAATTTAGATGACGTGTACTCTGCTTCTCCCACTATTATACCTAAGTATTTTTTTCATACTACAGTGTGTTCTTTATCATTTTTCTTGTGATGATCCTTTTTTCCAACTTTGCATAAGAAAGCTTAATCTTGGCCCAGTTGCGGTGGTGCAAGTGATAGTGTACTGGCCTGCAATGTTGTAAGCCATGTGGCCGAGTGTGGACTTGGATCTGCAATTGATCTGAAGCTCACCGAGTGCATGCATGCCCCAGACCCTAAGTAACTGGAGGGTCAGAGGAAAGGGATAGTGGCTTAACAGGACCCTGTTCGGAGTACCTGTCTCTCTTGCACTCTGTCTTGCTCATGAAAGAAAGTAAAAAGAAGAAAAGCTGAGCCTTGTTTCTACCACTTACTAGCTTTGTGAGCCTAAGAAAGGTTCCTAAGTTTAGTGAAGCTAATAGAAGTAAAAAGTGAGGGGCCAGTAGATGGCATAGTGGTTATATCGCTGGACTCCCAAGTGGCTGACCATGGTTCAAGTCCCAGACCTGGAGGCTTGAAACTCATGCCAGGCGTGTGTGTGTGTGTGCATGTCCAAGATCCCAGGACAAGAATAGAGAAGGGATTGTGACATAGCCATCCCCTTAGGAGGCGATTTCTCATGCCTTTTCACTGTCTCTTTCTCTGGCAGGTGCACACACCGTAAGGCAAAATAAAACCTCTTTTTAAAAAAAGTCAACTTTTAATGATCTGAAACTGGAAATTATAACATATACAGTAAGACTGTTATAAGAATTGTTTATTAAACTCTCTGGGACACAGCAGTTCCTTCATATGTACCAGTTTCCTTTTTCCAGGGACCTCGTTTTTACCCTCTCCCTCCACGGTTGCCCTCAGAGACTCAGAACTTGCTCTTATTCCTCCAGACCAAGAAAGACCATCCATACACCTGGAGAATTGAACTGGCAAAAACAGAGAAATACTGGGACGGCTGGTTCCGAGGCTTATCCAATCTCTTTCTTAGTTGTCCTATTCCTAAATTGCTTCTCTTAGCTGGTAAGTATATGTGTGTGTGTTAGCTTGGCTGCCAAAAGAAAATGCCATAGACTGGGTGGCTTTGACAATAGAAGTTTATTTTCTCACAGTTCTCAAGGCTGAAAGTCCAGGTTAGGTGCCAACATAGTTGGGTTCTGGTGAGGGCTGTCATCTTGGCTTACAGACATTGCTCATGTGGCCTCATGTGGCCAAAAGAGAACAAGAGCCTGTTGTCTCTTCTTATAGGGACCCTAATCCTTTCATGTCAGAGCCCTACCCTTATGACCCCATTTTACCTTAATTACTTTCCCCTAGGCCAAATACAGTCACATGGGGTTTCAGCATGCATTTGAGGGGGGAATACAGTATTGTGGGTGCATTGTTACCTGGATATGACCTTGTTCAATCTACCAGCCAAATAGGTAGTAACTTCTAAAGCAGAGTACCGTCCTCACTCATCTGTGTCATTCTCCCCGTGCCTGATCCCTAGACCTCGCTAAGCATCAACATCTACCTGTGATGGTCTAATTCTGGCCCAGTCTTTGTACCTAGTCAGGTCTAAGTCATTCTCCTAGAGCTAAATAGATTTAAGTGGCATAAGGATATTCTGGGTACAAGTTAAACATCCCTAATCTAAAAAACTGAAATCCAAAATCCCAAATCTTTTTAGCACAACATGATGTCACCAGTGGAAACTTCCACACCTGACCTCATGTTCATAGTCAAAATGTAGCAATACCAAAGTAATGTACAAAATTACCTTTAGGCTATGTGTCTAAAGTGTCTATTAAACATAAATGAATTTCATGTTTACACCTGGGTTCTATCCCAAAGATACCTCATCCATCATATATATGCAAGTATTTTTTTTCTGGAGAGATTTTCACTATAGGGCGCGTGCGCTCGCCAGACAGACAGAGAGAGACATTAGAGTCAGAAAGCGAGAAATCACCCTCCAGGGGGGATGGTCATGTCTCAATCCCTTCTCCTCCATTCTCCTCTCGGGATCCTGGGCACGCACGCACACGCGCCCGGCGTGAGTTTTAAGCCACCGGGTCCGGGACGCGAACCGCGGTCAACTACGTGGGAGTCCAGCGACATAGCCATTACGCTACAACATGATGTCAGCAGTGGAAACTTCCACACCTGACCTCATGTTCATAGTCAAAATGTAGCAATACCAAAGTAATGTACGAAATTACCTTTAGGCTGTGTGTCTAAAGTGTCTATTAAACATAAATGAATTTCATGTTTACACCTGGGTTCTATCCCAAAGATACCTCATCCATCATATATATGCAAGTATTTCAAAATTCAGAAATACTCAAAACTGGAAGCACTTCTGGTCTAAAGCATTTTAGATAAAGGATACTCAACCTATACTATGAGAATCAAAACAGTAAAACCCAGTTTTCAGAAACCAGTTTAAATAAGCAAAATGATTGCAGGGGAATCTCAACCTGGAAACTTTCATCTGGTGAGAAAATACCTGGGAATTAGGATTGGGATGAACATGAATTGAGAATGTTGTATTTATAACTTTGTAACATTTTTTGCTTAGTACTAGGACAGCAAAACCGGTGTCACAGGGCCTTTTCTAGCGAGTTGTTTATGGATTCTCTTGTTTCGTTCTAGGTGTTGATAGGTTGGATAAAGATCTGACCATTGGCCAGATGCAAGGTGAGTTATCAAGAAATCATGCCCCTGGACACTTTCCTGAGGGTAGAGAAAGGGCAAGGTCATGTGGAAAGCAGCGTGCTGAGACAGTGAGTGCAGTGATGCGGACATGAGCTTTCCAGTGAGAGCCATATTTGCCATCCACTTCTACTTTTGACCCACTGTATGATTATGGGCAAGTATTTCCCTTTTCTTTCTTTTCTCCTCCTTTATTTATTTATTTATTTTTAAATGTGGCCAGAGGGCATGTGTACTCACTGGAGAGAGAGAGAGAGAGAGGGAGAGGGAAAGTGAGGAAAGATTCCCCTTTGGGGGTGGTCATACCACACTCCCTTCTCCTTCATATCCCTCCTTTTGGGATTTTAGGTATTCACACACATGCATCTGGTGTGCTTCTTAAGTCTCTGGGTCTGGACCAGAGAAATGCCTTCAGCCATGTTGGATCCAGGCACTTTAACCACCATGCCACAGGCTGGCTCACCTGTTCCTCTTTTCTGAGCTTTGATTTTCTTTCTTTTTTTTTTTTTTTTTTTTTTTTGCATCTAAAATTGGGAATACTACCTATGTCTGAGTTATGAGGATTAAAATGAGACAATGTATTGAAAATCATATAGCACTATATAGCTTATAATACTATGAAAGGAAGTACTCTGGATACTGATCAGTATTTTTATTTTTAGAATTTTTTTTGAGAGGTTTTTGCTATAGGGCACATGCGCTCGCCAGAAAGATAGAGACACAGAAAGCGAGAAATCACCCCCCAGGGGGGATGGCCACGCCGCAATCCCTTCTCCTCCATTCTCCTCTTAGGATCTTGGGCACGCACACACACGCGCCTGATGTGAGTTTAAGCCACTGGGTCCATGTTTTGAACTGCAGTCAACTACATGTGAGTCCAGCGACATAGCCATTACACCAACTGCTGGTCCCATATTTTTAGATTTTTTAAGAAAGAGAGGCTAGCTGGTGGCATGGTAGTTAACAGCACTGAACTCCCACATGGCCAACCGTGGTTCGAGTCTTGGACCTGGCGACTTGCTTTCTCACTTTCTCTCTCTCTCATTCTGTCCCTCTCTGGTCAAATTAAAATAAATAAATAAATAAATAAATAAATAAATAAATAAATAAATTTAAATAAAATGATGCTTTAAAAGAAAAAAAAAGAAAGGTCTAAGATATAAAAAAAATTCAGATACAAAATCATAAAATCTGTTTGGAAGACAGTATGGTGAGGGGGTAAAGAAAGGCTTCAAAGTTGGGACAACTGCATTTTGAAATTAATTTCCTAGTTTTTTGTTTTTTTTTTTTACCCTGGGTAAGTTACTTGGCCTGCCTCAGTGTTAGTTTTCTTAATCTGTAAAATGAGAAAATCTATGGCCACCTCAGAGATGCGAGGCGTGACTAGGTTGAGCACCATGCACAAGTGCGGGTCCTCGGTCCGATGACAGTGGAGGCTCTTCTTCAGTAAGGGTGAAAGACGGGAAGGTGGAGGCAGCGAGCGTCACAGCTCGTGGGTTACAGGAAGAAGAGGTGCCAACTCCAAGACCACGGTTTCGGCCTGTGCAGATTTTGTTTTTGACACTCTTTTTCTACTTTTCCTGGGCAATTTCATGGCTTCCATGTATACCCTGATGTCTCCCAAAGCTAACATCCAACTCGACTCTCCCCCCGATATCCGGTCCTGGCCGATGTACCAAACCTGCCAGGGGTCTCGACTTGGCTGCGTCATGAGCCTCTCTCACGTTTTTTATTTAAGCCATTCAGGATCTCCACAGAGGAAGAAGCTTTATTCCTTCATAATAGTTGTTCAGAGCCTCTTGAGTGATCCCAGACCCTCAAACCCTTCCTGTAACTACCTAATGTCCCAAGGCCCGGAGCAGGACCCGAGCTGGACCTGGGTGGTTTTTATGACACTGGCGTTGGTAGTTTTGGGTTTATCACATGTGTATTACGGGCTTAAGATCCACCCTTAGCACCCTTTCTGTTCAAGACCTATGCTCGATGCTAGGCAGACAGAAGAGTCGGACATGGTCCTGAGACTATCTGAAAGCAGTTGATCTGGATTGGTAGAATAGCCTTTGATCAATATTGATTACCAGTCTTGCAATCAGATGATCCTGGATTTAAATGAACGCTGTTACTGGTTTGTGGTCTGAGTCAATTGCTAACTTCTTTTTAGAGAGATATTTGCTATAGGGTGTATGCACTCGCCAAAGAGACAGAAAGTAAGAAATTACTCCCCAGGGGAGATGCCTGCACTGCAGTCTCTTCTCCTCTCTTCTCCTCTTGGGATCTTGGGCATTCATGCACACACACCCGGCATGAGTTCCAAGCCACCGGGCCCAGGACTTGAACTGTGGTTGACTACGTGGGAACCCAGTTATGTAACCATTATGCCATCTGTTGGTCCCAATTGCTAACTTCTTTGATCCTGAGTTTCTTTATCTATAAAATGGAGATGATGCTATATCTCATGAAGTCTAGATGAGGAAATATGGATAAAGTAAGAGTCTAACAATATCTGACAATATGTCCAGCAAGTATTTAGAGATCCTCCTTTGGTGCCCACCTGTTTCCTCACTGTGGATTATGCCAAGACCGCCTTCTCTTCTAGAGAAAGCATGTCATGAGTATGGAGAGTGACTGGCCAGGAGGAGGGACATTCCATAAAACAAAGGAAGTCTGCATAGACTCCCAGCCACAGTCTTTCCAGCACTGTGTTCCATCCAGTGAATTTGTTGTAGAGTCCTGGAAACCCTCTACTTACTCCTGGTGCAATTTGGGTAAATACTTGAGGCTCTCTGATGATAAGGTTCCTCATCTGTTAACAGGGAGAGGAAAGTTTAGAAATATCCCTACCTCATAGGATAAATGTGAGGGTTACCCAGGGTCGTGCTATTTCATGTGTAGCTGGCACAAGGTTAGTCCTATGTGGAAGTTCCTGTAATGACTTATACCCACTCTTCCTGAAAGGAATAACACTGGGTCCTATATATCCAATATATCCCTAATCATCAGAGGCTGATCCCATAGAAAGACCCATGGAGTGGGTGGTCATCCGTTCAGTCATTTATTCACCCAGGACTTGCTCAGCACCTACTCAGCACCCAGCCCTTCGTAACTAGTCTCACGAGCACCATGCCAGGCTTCTTTATTTCCAGGTAAATACCATTTGCGCCTTCTTTCTTTTGCAGTCTATTCCTTTTCATGGGAAGGTTTCCTGGATCCCTGTAGGATGGCATGGCCTTTTTTCCTATGTTTTTACTGCCCAGTTTTATCATAGTACCTACATGTTGCATTAAAGTATTTTTTATGGGAGGCCAGCAGGTGGCCTGGTGGTTAAGGGCTTTGGACTCCCACATGGCCGACCATGGTTTGAGTCCCAGACCTGTGACTTGCTTTCTCACTTTCCTTCTTTCTCTCTTTCACTCTGTCCCTCTAGCCAAATTAAAATAAATAAACAAATAAAATAAAATAATTAAAAAAAATTTTTTTATGAGACCAGCAGATGGTATAATGGTTACGTTGCTGGATTCCCACATGGTCAACTACAGTTCAAGTCCTGGACTCAGTGGCTTGAAACTAACACTGGGCGTGTGTGCTTGCATGCCCAAAATCCCCAGAGGAGAATAGAGAAGGGACTGCGGCGTGGCTATCCCCCATGGGGGATGATTTCTTGTTTTCTGTCTCTGTCTATCTGGTGAACACATGCACCTTATAGCAAAAATCTCTCTCTCTCTCTCTTATTATTTTTTTAATGTTTTACAACCCCACTGGCTTATAAATCCCCTGAGGACAGGAACCATTTGTGTGTGTCTGGCCCAAAGTAAATGTACACTAAATGGAAACAGACAGAAAGAGTAAGGGAAGACAGTTTCCACAGGTTGTCGTTACAGGCATTCTCATCCTCACCCAAGACTCAGTGACTGGGGCCAGAGTATGTGGAGTGGAGGTGGCAGCAGGAAGTCCTGGGCTTCTGGAATGCCCTAAAGGAGAGGGCCATTTTAGCTCCTGCAGTCACCTGGCTTTTCTTCCTCTCCAGGGAAGTTCCAGATGCAAGTCCTGCCCCAGTGTGGCCATGCAGTTCATGAGGATGCCCCCGACAAGGTGCGTCCAGGGCTCCGTGCGTAATAGGACAAGTGCAAGAGCGGCCTTGGTGGTTGTCGGTAGTGGTTGCTGGCTGCGGCTGCGCTGAGGCCTGTGCAGGTGCAGTCCCACCACTCCCCAGACCTCTCCCTGGCAGGAGCGGCTGCGCTGGGGCCTGTGCAGGTGCGGTCCCACCACTCCCCAGACCTCTCCCTGGCAGCTGCCTTTCGTCCTGGCTTCGTGCAGATGGGCTAGTAACTGCCGGCACCTGCCATCTCGTCCCAGAGCCCTGTGGTTAAGATCTTAAGCTCTACTTTATCTATAACCCCAAAAGCAGGTGGAAGAAGGGATGGTGGCAGTGGAAACTACTGCTAGTCCTTGAACTACAGTCACGGTTAGGAATCTACGTGGGCTCCTCCTGGGGGAAAAGGTGCTTTGTAAGTCTCAGGAACGAATAAGCACCTCGAATCATTCCTCCTAACTTCTCTAGAGCCATTCCTGGCAAGGATGGGCCCTCAGGAGTCTCCTGCCCTGTGAGGGCCCAGTCCCTCTGATTTCAAGCTGCCCAGACCTGAGGGACTCCTAGAGTACAAAGAGCCTCACTTTCCCACTGAAGCCCACAGACCTTCCAGGGCCAGCCCGTCACTAACCTTCCTGTGGCCTGGAATGTCTGTTTCCAGGTAGCTGAAGCCGTTGCCACTTTCCTGATCCGGCACAGGTTTGCAGAGCCCATCGGTGGATTCCAGTGGTAAGGACGTACGAGAATTCAAGGCCCCAGCACTGCCGGCTGACTCCAACAGATATTTCCAGGCTATGGGAATCCCTGGTACCCTGCCTGGTCTAGGTCACCATGCCTGTCTTCCTCCTCAGCAAGAGCCTGGCCCGTGTGTCTATAAAGTTGGTGTTTCTGTGTGCCCCAGCCCAGTGGGTTGTTGCTGTGACTACGCTTGAACTTTGCCCTTCACCCTCCACTGGGAAGTCCTCTTCCGGAGATACCCCTTCTCTGAGGAGGCTGGGCTGGGAATAAGCTCCCAGTTCCTAGAGAGATTTCTTGTGCCCCCCTCCTGCCTATTGCTGAGAAAACTGGGGAGGTCCTTGAGGCTGTGTGGAAATCTAGAGCAGGCTTTCAGCCTCTGCCCTGCCGACACTTGGGAGTGTGTACTTCCGGCCGTGGGGGGCTGTCCTGTGGCCATGGCACATTCGGCAGCATCCCTGGCCCTGCATGCTAGATGCCAGTAGCACCCTACACTCAGTTCTGACAGTGGGCAGTGTCTCCAGATTGGCCAAATGTCTCAAGGGAGGCAAAGTCACTCCCGTTGAGAACCCCTGGTCTGGAGGAAGAAGAGAGGCCAGGCCTCCTATCCTAGGAAGCACCTGATCTGATTAGGGGGACACAGGATCTCAGTAGAAGAGGGATGGTGACCCAAGCCAGGTGGTCTGGCCCACTCAGGGAGCTCCTCGTGTGCGCGGCAGGAGGCCCGCAGTCCCCACAGAGCCCTGGCCTAATGCCCACTGGAGAGCACCTGTCTGATCTTGGTGAGGGCTGAGGGGAGCTTGTTTGAGGAAGAAATGTCGAAGAAGAAATGGCTTTTGCCTTAGAGAACACTAAATGCCAGAGCCAGGGGAGGAGAGCAGGCAGGACAGTACTGGAGCTAACCACTGGTACAGTGAGCCGCGGAAGTGACACCCTCATGCCAAGCCACCCCCTAGTAACTGACGACTGATGCTGGATCCCAGCAACCGACAGTGAAGACTTGATTTCTCTTAATAAGCAGCATTTCCAGGCTTGGACCATTGCGAGCATTGGTCAAATGAGCCAAATACTGAAACGGACCCTGTGTGTAGCCTTGATGGGGTCATATTGAGAAGGGACAGATCCTAGAGGGCCGTGGTGGTAATTAGGGAGGGCTTCCTGGAGGAGGAAGGGTAAGCATAGGAAAACGAATGGTGGTGAAATGTTTTCCCTTCTCTTTCCATTCTTCACAGCGTGTTTCCTGGCTGTTAGTGACCTGGTGTCCACCCCTCCCTCAACATTGAGCTCTGTTGTAAATACATCACACCAGAGGCCACTGTGATGCCGCTGTCTCTTCCACCATCCTGCCCGGCCATGTGACACCGGCTCCCCGTAGACGGGCATCCCCAGATGTATGAACCTTTTCGTGTATTCCTGCCCAGAGCATTGTTTTCCAGGGCTCTTGACCAACATCGGCCTCCCCAGCCCAGGGCTCCCCAGATCACACCCCTCCCCTGCACAGGGGTAGACCCCGCCTGCTCTCCCTGCCTTGCCTCGGGAGAAGCCTCCATCAGAGCTGCCACCTTGGCCCGGTTCCTGGCGTCAGGCAGCACACCTGGGTCCAGATGTCTCCCTGGGCTCAGGGACCTCCATTCCTGGACATTGTTCTTGGCATGGTCCTGTCCTGCCTGGTGGGACAGACAGTGCACGGGATGGTCCTTATTCTTCCCGTTCAAATAAAACACTAGTCAGGTACCTTTTTTTATCCTAGTCTTACCCTTCTAGGTTCGGAAGGCCCAGAGAGGCCAGGATTCCATCCTTCGGTACAGGGAGGGTTGCCGGATAGCATCACAAGAAACCAGCCTGAGAATCAGGTCCAGCCAGTCCAAGCACATGGCCTCCCACCAGGGAGAGCCCAGCGCCCTGCTCCCACATGTCTGGGCACCTGCCCTGGGCTGAGGCCAGGCTGCTCCAGGGGCCACTTGAGGCCTCACCTGCCA